AACACCCCCCCCCCCCAAAGACAAAAATTTGATTTGGAGTTTAGCCACTTGGGAAGTCATAAAAGCAAGCAGATTTAAAATGCCAAATGGAGTGGAAAAGCACAGGTCCTCAAGGAGGGGGGGGAGGGTGCATTTCCATAGCATGCCTGGTGACACCAGCGCTCTATCCCCCCCCCCCATGCCTTTTCTCCCTTGGAAGAACTGCAGATACCACACAAAACCATAACATGGGAGGGGGGAACGGCAGTCCTCCTTGGGGGACTACCAGGCAACCTCTCTGCCCCCCCCCTTCGGGTGCCAAGGGACCACTTCCAAAATCATAGTTGAATCCAGAATGGGCCCCCTTCTGAAGCCTTGATTATCATTAACCAGACCAGCCTTTGCACCCCCTTGCCCTCAAACCCTTTTAAAAGAAACAGTTTTAGAAGAGGTAGCTGCGTTAAAAGGTCACCAAGTGATTCCCCCCCTTCTTTTTCAAGAACTCAGCAAGCAAATGGTATTTCCCCCCCCCCCAACCCCTCATATCTTGTTTGGAAGGGGCTCCTGCCCTCTCTTTTCTGGAAACCTCCCAGTCAAATGTACTGGGCCAGCTAAGATTGTTTTTAAAAGCCAGAGCAAGAGCTGAGCCCAGTTTACCCCCTACTCTACCCAAGCCCCAGTGAGTAAAGACGTTCACTGGGTTTATTTTAAACCACCTCCCATTCCTACGTCCTCCCTCCCCAAATACAATCAAGATCTAGACAGCAGGTCTGATTCCCCTGAGTTACGATCCAACCCGTGTTCAAAAGCTCGGATTAAGAAATACATTGGATACTACGCTTCGTCACAAGGAGACACACACACACAGACATACACACGTATTACACACTCGACCCCCACAAATGTACGTGCTCTTTTCAATATATATCTATCTTATATATAAATTTTGATATAGAATCTTCTCGGCCCAAAAACCAAAAGTATATTTCACGTACAGGAAGGGGGAGGGGAATCGCCCAAACCGCCACCCCGAGGGGCCGCAAAAGACCCAAGTGCTTGGTCTTTCTGCAGGTCAAACCAGTTGGATGATTGTGTCCCACAAGAGTAACTGCCAGCAATGGGCCAGGACAAGGGAGGAAAGTGAGTCTCGAAAATTTGATACCCCAAAACCATTCCCCAGAAACCTTTGCCTTCATCCGGGCAATCTTCTAACAGTTCATTAAGCCAGTATTTACAAGAAATTGAAAAGCTTGTGCACCTCAGCCAGAGAATGGCATCAGTCAACGCCCAAAGGGACACATCCCCCCCCCAGGGCTCCAGCCTGGGCCCCACCCAAGCATCATCCCAGCGGCGGCGAAGGCAAAGCAGATGCTGCCATAACTGGCTGGACAGGGCGAGAGGAAGATGGGGGAGGCGAAGTTTTCTAATGGGAAATGGGTGTCCACAGCCCACACTGGAGTCTCTGAATCACTTCAGTGGCAGATTAGAGGAGCTGTTCTCACACACCCTGCCACGGAAAGGTAAATCTGTAAAAGGAGCGCGTGAGCGAACGAGCCTCGCCCCCTCTCCCAGCACAACGGGCTGAACCCCCAGGAAAGGACAGAGTTTTCCCCCCCATCCGTTGTATAGTCAAGGTGCCCTTGCCCCTCTGCAGATGTTGACACTCCTTCACCGACATTCGACACACCCAGATACTTCAAACAAAGGATGCAGGAGGCGGGCGGCACCAAGAAAAAAAAGAAACAGCACCGAATTTCTTTTTATCAATTTTGTTTGTGGTGCTGAAGTCTTGGGCCAGATTTTTACACTCATTTAAAAACAATATATATACGGCGCCTTTCCAGGAGAGCAGGGAGGGAACTGGGGGGGGAGCAGAATATTTGGCTGATCACTGGAGAAAAGAGAGATGTCGTTTGGTGATGGTATTTCTACCGTTTGCTTTTCCTAGGAGCGGTTGTGGTTTCTCTGCAGTCAATGTCATGCAGGTACCTCAGAGGCAAGACGCACCAGGTGGGATTTTTTCATGTTAGCCCGGCTGCCTCCAGGGGTCGAGACAGACACTGCCTTTTTGACGGGAGTCTGATTCTAACGGGAGCTAGAGATGCAGCACTATAGGATCCGGCCAGGACTCTTCTCTTGATTTTTTTGCTTGTTTGTTTGTTTTAAGGCCAGAATGGAAGCTGGACAGTTTGTGCGGGGGGAGAGGGACAGGATCGCAATAATGATTTGTTTGTTTGTTTGTTTGTTTGAAGGCCAGAATGGAAGCTGGACAGTTTGAACTCCCCAAACCTTTGGGAAAACGAAGTGTCTTTGCAAAGCGCAAGACATGGGCAGGGTGGCTTTGGAAAATATATGTTTTTTTTTTAAAAAAAAGACTTAGGTGAGGTGTCCCCACCCCACCCCAGCAACAGCTGGCTTTTGCCATTCCTGCACTGTGATCTCTGCAAATAAAAAGAGGCGGGAAATGTTTTTAAAGGCTGTCAGGCTGCCTTTCTTTGCTATCCCAGACACCTCGAAATCACAACATCCTTACCCCCAGCACCACCCATACACAAACACACAAGGGCGTGTGTGCACACGCGGACACACACAGACAAGAGAGGTGGGCAGGCCCTGCAGAATATCATCTGAGGAAACGCTGAAGCAGTTGTTCAGGCTCTTCCCACCCCATGTAAAAAAACTACCTGAGCTTGTGAGTTAAGGACACACTCTTCCTCCCCTGAGGCCCTGCCAAGATCTGAGGGGAAGGCGGTGTGGGGTTGGGGGGGGGTTCGACACGGCAGCCCCAACAGACCCAGGGCCATCTGTCCGAAAGAAGAAAGCTGAAGCAAGTAACTGCCGAGAATAACTCTCTCCACCTGAATAAATGCAGATATATAAAATGCTCTCTGCAGATCTGATTTTCTTTCTTTTTGGTTTGTCCTTTGAGAAGGGGAAAAAAAGATAAGTTTTTATCTACAGTCCAACCCCCAATTTTCCTTATATACTTTAACAGCATTTTTTAAAAAAACACACACAAAAGAATAGAGCTATCACCGCCACCCACTACCTTAATTGCTCCGTTATTCTTTATTTCTGTCTCCTTCCCAGCGCTAGCCTGTCCACACCCGCCACCACCAAAATCTTCCTGTCTGGAGGTATCAAAATAATAATAATATTATAATAATAATAATTTAAAAAAGGATCTAGAGACACGCACAGTGCAAAGCGTGGGATTTGCATGAGGTAAGACGTTCCGGGTCTACAATGCATCACGTCAGAAAGCTGAAACGGCACAGTGTTTTATCTGGCTCAGAATTTAACAACCACCTCTCCCCCGCCACACACACCCCCCTTTCGCCCTGGTTAAAAAGCTCTTCTCGTTTCTTCTTCTTCTTCTTCCAATGTATTTGTTTGAAGGAAACAGGCCCACACACTCCCTCAAGGAAGAGATCCGTAGCTGAAGACACACACACACACAAACACACAACCTGCACTGGAAAATGAGTGTCAAAAGTTTGTTGTGGTTATTTGGTAAAAGCCACGCAGAAGCCACCTCTCCCGTCCCGTCTGGACCTTCCTGGGCGCTGACAGCTCCCTGGCACAGTGCGCGGGGGGGGGAAGCGGGGTGTAGGGGTGGGCTGGGAAGCAGCTTGCACCCTTTTTACACCACCAGGCCCACTTCTGACACCCTCATCGCCCACCCTGAGTGGGTGCCCCTATCGTGCGTGTGGGGAAAACAGATCGCTCAACCTCTCCGGCCCCACAAAATCGCCGTCTGGAATTGCCTTTTGGGTCCCATGGGCTTGGAGGGTGTCAGAAGGGGAGGGAAGGAAGGAGGGAGGCACGAGGTGCCTCCACCGCCAGGGAAAAAGGGTCTGGAAGGAAGGAAGGAAGGGAAGGAGGAAGCGAGCATCCCAAGAGGGCCTCTTCTGAATGAATGCGTCGCCTGAACTGCAAAGGGAGGGAGGGAGGAAGAGCGGTGGGCTTTAAGGCGATGAGGAGTTGGTTGAGGTAGAAGCTGGTGCTGCGGGCAAACCACCCGGCGGAGCCACGGCTGCCCCGCTCGCTGTGCTGCTGGTGCCCCCACTGCTACTGCTACCGCCGCCCGAACTCTGCCCGCTGTTGGCGTTTCCTTTGTTGAGGGAGGGGAAGGCTGCCGGCGTCTGGGCAAAAAGCACCCCTGCAGAGAGAGAGAGAGACCCAGAAAAAGGTGAGGAGACTAAACCCCATGTGTATGGAAGGGGGGGGAGGGTCCCTGCCTGTGGCCCACTACCGTCTCCCGCCTGCCTGCCTGCCTGCCGGCCCTTCCTGCGGCTATTCATTCCTGGCCCCATGAAATCCTTTCTCTCCAAAGGGGAACCGGTTGCTGGGTCTGCTCCGGAGGCCTCCACCCATGTGGGCTACGACTCTTTCCTTTTCACCTCTCTCTCTCTCACACACACACACACACCGGCAGAGACAGAAAAACCTGGGCAACACGGTTTTAAAAAATGACTTTGACCCAAAACATCCAGTACTTTAAAGTATTTTAGGTTGATAAGTTGCTTGAACCCATTCAATTGTGTTTATAATTTCCTGTTGTTGTTTTTCTGGGCATTTTGCAAGCCACCCAAGGTCCGAATGGGCCACAAAAGCAAGAAGAGACATCGAATGGATGCTTATCGCCTGCCTGGCCTTTGTCTCCCTCAACCCCCCGCCCTAAAAGACACCCCCTCTCTTCCCTTCGGGTACCTGTATAAACGATGCCATTGATCTCGACCGACATGCTGATGCTGTTGGTTCCGTTGGCTGGCGCTGAGTTCCCGGCTGTGTCTTGGCGGTTTTCTGCTGGGAAACAGACCAGGGTTAATTAAGGGTGTTGCAGGATGGGCTAAGCTTTCTCCTTATGTCACCTCAAGAAAGCCCCAAAAGGGTGTCTCTGGTTCTCCCACTCCCCACTGAGGATCCGGTGACTCCCACCTCGAGAGCCTTCGAGATCTCTAGCCTCGCTGTTTTTCGTCGTGCTTTCCATTTAATCCTCTTTTACCATCTCGTTTGATTTGGGGCACTTCGCCCTCAATATTGCCCGGAACTGCCTTGAGCCCCGTTTGCAGGAGGCAGCGAGGAGACAAATCCTGAGCGAGGCTGGAAGCTCAGCACCCGAGGGACTGCAGTTTGGCCTCTCGCTTTTTTTCACTGGGCCCGCAGCGCCTGGCTTGGGAAAAAGATGGCAAACCCCTCTGAATGCACCAGGCCCTTCTGGACCGGTGGCCACTGACCCGGGGGAGGGGGGCAGGGGGACGGGAGGCAGATGACAAGAGGCCGGGGGAGGAGTGTTCCCTGCAAATACACCCCAATAACCCCCGCCCCCAGTGTAGGAAACGCACAAGCAGAGGGAACAGGTGGGGGAGAGAAGCCTGGTGCAGATGGTGCCAGCTTGTGCTCGTTGGACAGTCCGGACACACTCCGGGACACAAACACACACACCCAGCAAAGATTCCACACACACACACACACCACACAGAGAGGACCAGAAGCAGCTCCTGGCCGATCTACCTTTTCAACCAGACTCATGCCTCCTACAGCACTATGAACGGCAGGGAGGGGAGTTGGCTTGTTGGCGTGGAGGCGTTTTAGAGCCAGCACTCTCCAACCTCTGGAGGGTGCTGAGGCACAGAACTGGGTGTATGTGTGTGGGGGGGAGAGGGGGCCACCTCCCCGCCCTCCCCGCCGGGCCCACCTTGGCTATTGATGCGGATGCTCATCGGCAGCTGGGCCGTCATGGCCAGGAGGTTCTGCTGGAGGGCCCTCTGCATCAGGCGCTGCGGCGGCTCCTCGGAGCCCCCNACCGCGATTGGGATGGCCGAATCCTCCTCTGCCAGACGGTCGTCGAAGAAAAGGAGAGAAGAGAATGGAGGAGGGAGGGAGGGAGGGAAGGAAAACAGGAGGAAGTGAAAACCTTTTAAAAAGAAAACTATGCTCTGGGAAAAAAAGGAGGCGGTGCTGCTTTTAAAACGACCAAAATCGGCTCCGCTCAGGCTTTATGCCCCGTATCTGATGGGAAAGGAACTCTGCCGATGCTCAGACGCCTTTGATTCAAGCGGGGAAACTCGTCACGCTTTAAGGCCCTTGTTGAGAGGAGCTGAGCCTTTACGGAGAATGACCTGCAAAGATTCCTCCGTGACCCGGCCTTGACGGGGGTGTCGCCTCCCAGTCCGCCAGGCAGAGGGAGATGGCCTGAAGCCCAGGACGGGCGCTGTCGCTTCCTGACCCAGAATGAGTGTCCCACCCGAGGGAACCCCTTTCTCTTTCTGTCACCGGGCTTGAAAATAACTGAAAAGGGCTCCACCTACTGACGGAGGCGAGGCATGACGGCAAAGGCTAGGAAAGACACCTCGTCAGCCACGCGGCTGCTGAGCCCGTATGCCTCCAACAAGGGCCAGGAGGTTCTTGGGAGAACCTGAAAGGGGGCTGGGCTGGCAACCCCAACCCCAACTCCCCCGCCCCATCCTTGGGTGCACGCAGGGGCATGTGGGGGGTACCTTTCTTGATCTTGGCCACCGGGGCGATGGGGCTGCCGTTGGTGGCCGAGGGCAGGCCCAAGGCCGGCACCTGCAGCTTCGGGGAAGGGAGCAGGCCATGGGGGTTGCTCGGCGAGTAGCTGAAGATGGAGCCGCTGAACCCCTGCCGGCGCCCCTCTCGGCGGTTGCTGTCGATGGCGGCCTGGAGCTCATTGGGGCTGCTCAAACCCCGCTTCTCGCACTCGTACGGATACAGGGGCTTCATGTACCTTCATGTACACATACATAAACAGAGAGAGAGAGAGAAAGGCAACAGGGCAAGATGAAATGCATTCCCAGACGGTGGAACCCACCCCTAAGCCCACCCACCGGCCATGCTAGCTTAGCTAGAGAGGACTCGGTCTTTCCAGGGGTGGCCCCCACAACCAGCAGGAGGCCCCCTGTTCTGCCTTTGGCCAGAAAGCACACGCTTCCCCCTCGGGAGATCCAGCGCTTTCTGCACCAAGGGGACAAGACACCCACGGAGCCCCTTCCCACAGCTTTTTTCTGGGGGAGGGGGCAGCAGAGGTTGGTGCACGGGTGCACTGGGAAAAGGGTGCCCTGGTTTTCTGAGCAAGCAGAAGGGTCGTCTGCCAGCAGGAAACGGAAAGAACCCAACCCGACGGACATGATCCCACTGCGGGTGGTCTTGCAAAATGCCCTTTTAAGACGGTATTTTCATGGCCATGCTCGACGGCTCGCCACGGCCACGAAAGTGAAATTACATGGCTGCAGACCCTGGAGACGTGGCAGGTGCCGAATGCAAAGCCCTTCGTATTTTCTGGTTGCCAGGGAGGGTGAGGAAATTAGTATTTTTCCCCTTCCTTTTATTTTTAGCTCTGAGCAACAGCTGTTTAGGAGCTAAGGGGTCTCCTTCCCTTCCTCTTTGCCTTTCCCTCCCTCCCTCCCCCACAAAACCTTTCCACATGCTCCCTCCTCCCCGCCTCCCCTCTCCAAATCCCCTTCAGCCACCTGGCCTCCTGAATTCCAGACTAATTAACTTTAGCCTTGATTAGGGTGGATGTGAAAGGTGGGGGGGGGAGAGGGAAAGAAACTTAAAAATGGGGGTGCTGGGGGTGGAAAAAGAACAAGAGGGAAGGTTCCAGAAGGAAAACAACGGTTCTCCTCCTCTTCCTTCCCTTCTTTTGCCCAAAATACGGTAATAATTTTTGTGGGAGAGGAGGAGATAAAACTGACACACCTTAACGTTTAAACCCTCTTTAAAAACATAAACATGGCCTCAGTCTGTGAACACCGATTGCGGGCTGTGATCCTGCAATAAAAGCCTTTGCAGGTGGAAAACTACAACTCCCATTATCCCCGCAGCCATGCTAACCAGCATTGTGTGGGCAGGTGGGGGGAGGGCTCCCCTTCCTGGGGACTTACTGGGTGCGGAGGGTGAAGGCGGCACTGGTGATGGAGGTGGGCAGCTTCAGCCCCTTGGTGATCTCCCGCCAGAGCTTCTTGTTGATGACCTCCACCAGGCCGCCCTTCTCGGTCACCAGGACGTAGAGCATGAAGAGGTCCAGGACCTGCTTGGCCATGATCGGGATCCTGTTCACGGGGGTCCCTGCAGGGAGGCACCGAGGGGAGGGAAGAGGGTGGGCAGAAAGAGAGAGAGAGAGAGAGGTTGGGGGGACGGCTGGGCTCTCAACCCCGCTCTGGAGGTGGCCGTCTGGACACTGGCCAGACCAGCTAAGCTTTGTCAAAATGGAAAGCAATGCAGGCAAAAGGAACCAAAACAATCTCTCTGTGTCTGTGTGTGCGTGTGTGAAGAGGGCCACGGGGACCCCAACCTCACGGCAAGCTCCACTGCCTCTATGAGTGCATTTCTCCCCCGTCCTTCTCTAAAACGTTTACAGACAACGACACCCTCCCAGGATGGTTGCAGGGGGTGGGCCAAATCCATCCCCATCAAATGTCCCTCCCAACCACTGCCTGGTGCCGAGCTGGGATGGATCCAGGCAAGGCCCCAAATTAGGGTTCGCCCCCCAAACACAGAGTCCAGCTGGGTCGTCTTCTCTCGGGGAAGGTGGGGGCGTGTGTGGGGCCTCTGTACTCCTCCCTTGTTCTCAAGTAAGGGGGGAACAGCTGAGGGTGCCGGATGGAGGGATGGATGGGTTGATCACAGGGTCCCGGACCCCCTTTTGCTCCTCAGGGCTTAAAAGCGAGGGGTCTCCCTCTGGGCATCCCAGCTGCTTCACTCTGGGTTGTTTTGGGGGGGGGTCTTGTGAGTGTGTGTCTACACAGCGGCTTCCCTCCTGCTTGGAAAACAGGCTGACAATTCTCTGCAGCCGCTCTGGCCCCTTCGCGGATGGGGAAACCCCCTCCTCTCCCTTCCCCCTTGAAGGAAGACCTGGCACGGTTTTGAAGTAAAAGGGCCACGGACACCATTGTTTGCTTAAATGGGCTGGTGATGGAGGAGGAGGTTGGAGGGAGGGAGGAAGGAAGGATCCCCAAGAGGCGTGTAAACCTGAAAAAACCTCCTTCAATTTCCTCTCTCTTCCTCCCCCACCCCCGTAATGGGCTCTGAGATGCCAGAGACACACACACACCCTCGGCCGGGCCAGCCATCTGCTTTCTCCCTTCTCCCGGGGCCCCTCCACCAGAAGATTCCTGGACTTAAAGGCATTAAATCCCTCCCTGCTCAATGGCCTTCTTAGCAAACAGGCAAGGTGGGTGACCGTCTTGTCCGGCCAGCCGGCTGACCGTTCCGTTCCTGGATTCAGCTGCTTGTTCTGCCAGGGAACCTGTGGATTTAGGGGGCAGGGGAAAAAAAACCCTATGTGGCTCCTTCACATCCTGTTGGGGCTACAATTGTGCTCACCTCGTTTCTGCATAAAACTGAAAAGGTCATCCAGGAACTCTTTCCTTTTGGGGTCCCCGTCAAGTTCGTACAACTGTGGGGAGAAAAAAAGAGAAACAGGGAGAATCGGTCACTCAGGATTCTGGGCCAGAAAACCAGGGTTGAATGGGGGGGTCGGAAGGAAGCCTGCGTCTCCTGCTTGTACGTTTCCAAGATGCGCAGAGGCTGATCTGCGCCCCAGCCTGCAGCCCCCCCCCAAGACTCTTGGCTAACTCTCACCAGACGTGGGCCACTGCCCAGCCCTGCCCAGCACAATGACGGGCTGAGGCCTTGTGTCTTTATTTTAATCTCAGTGAGGTCACTACTTGGGGTGGTTTATATATCATGAAAACCAAATTTATGGAAACGCAGCCCAAAATAAAATACTCATCATCTCCCCAAGGAGAGTGGACGCCACCAAAAATAAAAATAAGCTCTAAACAAAATTGCACCAAAACGATTCCCACACAAACTGAATGGCCACAATAGAACTCTAACTAATTAGGAGAAAATGTAACAGAATGTAACCAGTTAGGACAAAAAATGTAACAGAATGTAACTACTTAGGACAGAATGTAACTAATTATGACAAAACAGGGCTTCTTTCCTGCCTTATTTGCTATAAACATCTTGACCGTTTCTCCAGAGAACCACGGGTTGCGCCTGCTTATAAAAGGTCTGTTATAGAACAAAAGTGTAAGTTTTCAAGCACAAGGGGAAAAAAAACTCACAAGTCCTGCAACCTGAAGGGGGAAAAAGGAGTGGAAATCAGGGAATCTGCATCAACAGATCTGAGGCGGAGTTTTTCATGACCAGTTTAAGTCAGCTTACCACACTTTCCCTCCTCAATTCACTTTTCGTCCCCCAGGAAAACCTACATTCCACCAGCAAGGCTGCAATTAAAATAACTTGGCGATAACCCGCCGTCAGCCGTGCACGAAGGCAAAGCCCGCTTCGGGGGTGTCTCTCTCTCTCTCTCTCCGTCCCGTCCCCCCCAGACTTGGGCCAGAATCAGGACAAGCCCTCAAAAGAGGGGAAGCAAAAAATGGCCACCTTCTCTTGGGCTTCCCTCCTAGTGGGGAGAATGATGTACAATCGGCCCTCCCTGTTGGCTGAAAGGCACCCCCACCTCCAGCTTTCTATTATGGCCGGGGCTGGAGCGGGAAGTGTATTTCCTTCTTGCCACGCAGGATGGGACCCTTTTGGATGGCCCACGTGGGAATGCCGAGAGCTGCCGCCTGGGTCCATGGGCCACGCCTCCCCCTCCCCGAGGTGCAAAGGCATGGGGTGCCCCACTGCTCTCTCCCTCTCCGGCTATTAATAGCTCTCTCCCCCCCCCCTTTCTGGCAGGAATGTTCCTGGGCTTCCAGCAGCTGCCGTTCAGCGCCAACCGAAGGGGCTCCTCTTGTGACCTCAGCCCAAACCTCAGGCCCTCAGACCTCACAGCCCGCGGGCACAGCCCGCCTGGCCACCAGCCACATCGTGGACCTGCGGGCGCGACCGCATGGCTCCGCTTTTTCCACCCGTCTCCCTCACAGCCGGCGAACCTCTTCAACCCTGCGCCCTCCTGGAGGGCACGACTGCCCACCCACGCTGGCTGGGGATGATGGGAGTTGTAATCTAACACACTCGGCGGGCAGCAGTTTGGATGTTTGCACCCAGCCATCAAGAGCCACGTGTCGGCCTTCAGCAGGAACGTGGTGGTGCCACACCTTTCCCTGCTGTGGTTCCAGCCCAGGAAGAAGAGACCACACACCCCCTCTGAAGGCCACGGCGTGTGGCGGGGGCAAAGTGGCCTGCGCAAGTCACGCCGTAATCT